GGGGAGCGGATCCGCTCGCCTCACGGTTTCATTACCGCAGTACGAATTGCTAGCGAAGCGACGCGACCATCCGCATCGATATTTAACTCAGGTAAACAAGTTAACCTTTATAAAACAATCCCGCAATTCAGTTATTACGTGAAATAAGTCGATTCCAAAAGCGTTCTGTAACACCTACAGAATCATTCCAGGGAAAATTTCGAATGGCGAATCAGTTGGTTGAATTATTTAAAATTTTTATTTTCCCTGGTGAAAAAATTCCGGGCCGAAATTCTGACGTTTTTCCAACGAGCTTCCAATGGATAGCCTCGGCAGAAACACAATTCAAATCCATCAGAAGCATTCATCTGCATACCGTAAAACCGAAACTTTCCAAGGACAGTATTCTCATATCGTTTGCTCGATACCTCAAATAAGAGTTGACGAAAATAAGGTTAAGGAAGCCTTTAGCAGTTAATTTTAAAACATACTTAAAACTATCTAGTAACAGCATGATGATCAACTAAGCAAGATTTATAAGATTTGATTTTGCCAATATGGTTGTGTCGAACGATGATCTCCACAACTCTCCCAATACGACTAATGAGTCGGTAATGGACAATAAGGGTTACAACTTTGAGAGAATCAAATACCTTTTCGCGACCAAGCAACTACGATAATACTCTACGTTGTTGATAATTTCGATAGACCTCTATATTTGGATAATACTTCATCATTTCCCATACTCGATGACCTACAATCTAACGCTCATCTTGGAGTTTCACCCGTTCTACGTGAAGTGACGTAATACTCAGTGGATATTAGCGGTACGCAGTGATTTGTGAAATATTATTTTTTCGATAGTGTTTTTCATATCACGGGTGAAACTCTATTGGGATGTTATATTACGTACTATTATAGTCTATCATTAGTATACATTATTTTAACCACTATATACCTTTTCCATCGCGTCAGACAACCGTACGAAATTCGATGTGATGTAAAATCTCCAATTCACCATCTCTATTAATCATGGAGTACAAGAGCCAAAACCATAGTCGTACCGTTATCAGCGACATCATGCATATAATCGTCGGTGAAATAATCCCAAAACGCACATCATTCAGAGGACTACACTGTGGCTACATCTTCGTCGCCTTATGATCCTCTTTTGCTACGACGAGCCTAATATCATCATACCGTAACAATGTCACTCCGTGAATACGTGGAGATATGCCAATATTGCAGAGATGCCAGCATGTTTTGGTATGAGCAATCACTATTTGCCCATTACATCATGTCAGCTACATCTGGAGTTGTATCAGCAAGGTTGTTGAGGTGTTTGATGCTCTTCCACCTGCCACTATCCACAGAGGAACCTGTCAACAAGGCGAACACGCCGTGAACAATACCGTGTTGTAATAGCAGGGGCATTCAACCTTTATCATCAATCATAGTATTTCCTCCCCAACTACAATAAGGCTCTTCAGCAGATTTTCAGAAAATTGTTCAGAATTTCCAATTTCATAACATTTCCTATGTATGTTTGGATCTCCTGTTGAATCGTAGGTCACCATATGTGGTAGCATCCCTTAAAATCCCAACGTAAAATCCCACGAATACGGGTATGCGGGAGGAAAACCTAAACATGAAACCCGAACACGAGCCTTGTGACTCTGTGGCGAGTTAGTTTCGCTTTTCCATGTCATAGCGCCAGTGAGTTTCAGGCCGCTGTAGGTCTTGGATGGTCAAACCAGCAGATAATACTCACTTGTGTGACCATAGTTTGTGAATGTAGGGCCCTTCGCCGCCTGATCGTCGGCGACATATGATGTCAAATAAAATGGGTTAAAATGATCGACATCATGTTGGATAGTCTATCTAACCGTCCAATCGGGCCATTTATGGTCATCAAGTGAAAAGCCTGTACTAGTAGTACAGTACTACAGGCGTTCTGGTAGTATACCATCCATACGTCACTGGCGATTGACATCGCCGTACTCAGGGTTGGTAGTGGGTGGGTTGAAATTTCAGAATTCCCTTGTAGACCGATACCCACGGTCATGTTCGCAAGTAGCTCAACTCTCATTAAGAGCCGTACTACTATTGCGAACTACAATTCTATAATAGAACTTCTATTATAGTGATCGCTTTCTCATTCATGATTCGCTAAGGTGCTTCAGCGTTACACAATTTTGTCACAATCTTGAGAGTGCGTTGCGTTGGTATGGGCGTGCGCGTGGTGATACCTCCTTCCTGGGATTTCATAGACACTACATTCGTTAACTCATTCCGTATATATTCTTAAAAGTCTTGCGTTATCTTGAATTTCCTCAACGTAGACCCGTCACGCGGCACAAAATTTCCTCTCGAGGTTGAGGTCAAAATGACGTAGAGCTCATCGGGTATCAGCGTGGTCCATCTCGAAGTTTGTGATTAGTTGAGCTAGTCGCGCTATGGGCGGCGACATTTCAATTCTGAATCGACCCTACTATGACGAAAAGCATGACGTGCCTGATGTTGGAGTATATCGTCAAGGGTAGTATGAGGGGAATAAATTGAAGCTGTGACGGTTGCATATAATTTATTGCAGTATTACATTTATAGAGCGACTCACTTTCTTGGATATTAAAGGCTTGGGTAAAACGTTTAAATAAACTGGTTTTAATAAAACATAAACATTTCAATATAACTAGTTTTAATATATTCATAGGGGACATTAATTTTGTAATATTCGATACGCAGAATGATATCAAAATTTTAACATAATATTATAATTCATTATGGATATGTGCTAATATAGGACATCGTTGTGAGCCCTTGAAAAATATTAGAGTTTCACCCGTGATATGAAAATACTGGCGAAAAATTTATATCACGACTACCGCAAAGCGCGAATATCGCGATATGCAGTAGTCATTCATATCGCTGCAGTTTGACCCGCTTTTCGTGAAGTGGCGTTATACTCGGTGAAAAACCCGATATTCGCGCTATGCAGTAGTCATGAAATATATTTTTCACTAGTATTTTTCATATCACTAGGGTGAAACTCCATTGTATCGTTATGATAATAGTTATAATTTGTGGAAGAAACCAAGGGAATATTTCCCCAGGTGTAAGCTTCGCTCCGCTAAGTGTCTGATGATGGGCATCCCCTCGACAGAAATACATTTATATACTGCGCTGATTCTGTGTGAAAAAATAAGCATATGTTTAATTAAATGTGTTCGTGATAAAAAGCAAATCCTCAGGGAATTTTAGGAAATTCTCATTGGTTTCTTTATACTTTCGAATTCGTATGATTGAGGACTCTGCCGAGCTCACTGAGCTCAGCTCAACTGAGGAAAACGTATATTCCAACACTTCCCCAGTATATAAACTTTTCCGGGGGATCGCCGAACGCATGTCTAATAACAATTCTGATCACATGCTGATTCACCAGCGCCATGCATTTTCCCTATTTGTCTTCATATCGCTACGTTTTTAGGACATCCCTAGATCACCGGTCTCTACCACCAGAGCTACGCGCGATTGGACGATGTCGAAAGTCAATGATTCTACGTCAGTCAGCGGTAGTAGCAAGTAGTCGTTACTCTCTATACACTTGGTATATTCTAAGGTCCTCCTACTGCGGCATTTGCGTGCTTGCCCACGCCGGTGTGTTGACCATGTGGGATGCGGTCAGAAGTGTCTCGTGCTGGATCAGGAGTTGTAGTACTCGCTCAGATTGAGACTTTTTTCCACGAAAACTTGAGAAATTTGCCGCCTTTTTTTGCAGGAAAAAATTGGTGGGAAATTACTAATTCCCCACTCTAGTGTGTGGAATTTTATCGGGTGGTATTGAGCATTACGTTTATTGATTGTTCCTATTCCAGGTACAGCTCGGTGCCTGCATTTTCTATACATGCGTGTTGCGAGTGTTTGAACCCGATGGTGGCGACTCGGTCAGAACTGGAGCGGAAACGCAAGTTGCTGTCGGGTCCGCCACTCCCAGTGTCTCTACATGAAATTCAAGGCTATCTTAGGGAGTGTGTGAGGTAGTAGTAGTAGTAGGGGGAAGGGGTTTCGAAACTCATTAGCGCCTCTCATTACTAACGTCAGCATTTGATTTGGTGTTTTCATTGGAATATATGCGGCATGAAGTTATGTTGAGTCTGAGTGTCACAATGTGCTTGGATAAGATAATGTACATCCAACGATAGAATCACTCAGTGTCTTGTTCCGTGGTATGTCGCGCTTGAGACTCAAAGTTTTGGTATTGACCATCGCAAAATATTCTGGTTATTGTTTATTGTTCTTAGATATTTCTCATGCTGCATGAGCTGATAGTGATCGCCACGGTGTATGCCTGTCGATTCGCTGAAAACGTATGCATGCGCCCTTGGAAC